GGTACATGAGAAACAGAGAACGAAAAGCTAATGTTTAAAGGTTAAAAGCGGATTTGAAAAGGTGGGTTTTGAGGAGTGATTTGAAGGTGGATGGATCTGGTCAGTCACGGATGTGTATAGGGAGGGTGTTCCAGAGGGAGGAGACGGCTATAGAGAAGGCTCTGTCGCCGCAGGTTCGGTGCTTGGTCCTGTGTGGAGGTGAGAGGAGGTTTTTGTCGGATGATCGAAGGTTGCGGGAGGGAGTGTGATGGTGGAGCATGTCTTAATGTCTTAATTTTGTCAAAATAGAAGTCCTCTGCTACCTTTTATGTTTAAATTGGAGGAATGGGCAAATGCACATGAAAACCCGGGTCTGTCTCTTTCACCCACTCTGCCCCCTGGTTTACACCAGAATTACGCCAGCTTAAAGCTGAAGGCCGTCGCCTGGAACACCTTTGTGCTAAAACTGGCCTTGTGGTGCATAAAGACATGTACACTAGCCATTTAATTCATTATAAGGATGCTCTAGCTAAAGCTAAATCAGCACATTATGCACATTTAATCCAGTCAAGTGAAGGAAACACTGGATCCCTTTTCTCCACTGTTAGCAATCTTCTATGGCCACATGATACTCTTGCTCCTCACCTGTTCTCTACAGCCCAGTGTAACACCTTTATCAACTTTTTTACTGCCAAAATTGAAAATATTCACCAGCAACTGACCACATCTATCAATACTAACTAAAGTTCACCTGATTCGCTTTTCTGTGCTGCCTGTGCCTTCCCTATCTAGTTTTAAACTTCTGACTGCTGCTGAGATATCTGGTCTGATTCGTAAATCCAAATCATCTACCTGTCTTCCTTCCCTCTCCTCCTTAATAACTGTGATTGCACATTCCTCCCTCACCTCCAGTCTTGTGCCCACATCTCTCAAAACTGCTGCTATAACTCCAATACTAAAGAAACCAGTTGCATATCCTAACAATTTCAGCAACTTCCATCCAATTTCAAATTTACTATTCCTCTCTAAAATACTTGAAAGATAAGTTGCAGCTCAGGTCCACACTCACCTTAGCCACAATAATCTGTTTGAACAATTTCAGTCTGGTATTCGCTCCTGTCACAGCACTGAGCAGCTCTGGTCAAAATCACTAATGATCTCCTAATGGCAGCTGACTCTGGGCTTTTAACTATTCTCATTCTTCTCGATCTAAGTGCAGCTTTTGATAGCATTTCACGTAACATCCCCCCAGAAATATTAGCTTCTATTGGTATCACTGGCACTGTCCTAAACTGGTTTAAGTCATATCTCTCCAGCCGCACTCATTTTGTTCAAATTTCAGATCCAACTCTTACCCACTTACTAGTGGTGTTCCTCAGGGCTCTGCCCTAGGTCCCCTTTTATTTATCATTTACCTTCTACCACTTGGCCATATCTTTAGAAAAGTTGGTATTCAATTCCACTGTTATGCTGATGACACCCAGCTCTACCTGTCCACCAGGCCTATTTCCACCCCCCCAAATCCCTTTCTGACTACTTACTGGATATTAAATCTTGGCTTTTATGCACCTTCCTCAGACAGTGATAAAACTGAGATTCTTCTTGTGGGTACAAAATCTACTCTGGCTAAACCCAACAGTTTCACTTTAACCATTGATAACTCCAAAGTCCATCCATCCCCTCAGGTTAAGAGTCTGGGTGTCATCCTCAACAGTACCTTGTCCTTTGAGGCCCACATCAATAATGTCACTCGGTCTGCATACATACTACAAAACCTTAACCGTCTTCGCCCATCACTTACACCTCACAGCGCAGCCATCCTCGTTCATTCTCTGGTTACATCCAGTATTGATTATTGCAATTCTGTCCTCTTTGGTCTTCCTCTGAAGTGTCTTCATAAACTCCATTTGTCCAGAATTCAGCTGCCCGTGTCATAACCAGAACCCCCTCCATAGATCACATCACTCCAGTTCTCCAGCAACTTCACTGGCTTCCTGTTAAATATCGCATCGATTTCAAGATTCTGCTTCTCACCTTCAAGGCCCTTCATAATCAAGCCCCTTCGTACCTGTCTGAACGCCTTCATATCTACACAGCCTCCTGTACTCTTAGATCTTCTTCTGCTCTCCAACTCACATCACCATCTGCCTGCTTGACTACCATGGGTTCTAGAGCCTTCAGCTGTTCTGCCCCCCGCCTCTAGAACTCTCTCCCCCATGACATTCGCAATATTGACTCCCTTTCCACTTTCAAATCCTGTCTGAAAACACACCTTTTCAAGCTGGCATACTCAGTCTGATTTAATGGAGACACACTTATTGGTGATGATTTTATTAAGATTATTTTATATTGTAGTATACTGTGTTTATAATTAGGATTTTTGTCTAGTCCAGGGGTAGGCAACCTGAGGCTCCGGAGCCACATGTGGCTCTTTAGCACCTCTCCAGTGGCTCCTTGACAAAAAAAAAATATATGGAAATGAGTAATGTTCATGTTTTTTAACATTTTATTTTTTATATATCAGTGTTGTAGGCCTAAAGAAATTCCTGCATTCTCCAATTGTAAAACTGTGAAGCCTCCAAACCAAATGAAAATAACTAAAATGTGTGTAACACATCTACTGCCTGGCACCTTTGCCTTGAAATTGTGCCAAACCTCCACAGCAGA